AAAGTGATATTAAGTGTGGCGAAACCGACCACATTAGATAGATAGCGGTGTGTCCCAAGACTACGCAAGGAGAACAGGCAGGCAAGCAGCCTCCTTTAGAGTGTGTGTACAGGAGAGGCAGTCCTAGCTGGTGTGGGAGGGAAGTTCCCCCTTGTCATTACAGTCGTTGGCCATGGCCACTCATCCTTCGGCTAGCTCAGTCGCATCCTGACCACACGACCTGCTCTGCTCTAGACGTATGACCGAATCCCTGGAACAGCTAGAAAAGAAGCTTCACAGAAAATTTTGGGCATGTTGGTTAGCCAAAAGTACCTGTTCACAAGCGGAGTTAGCAGTTGTAGAAGCGTGTGCATTGGAGGAAAGAGGGCTGACTCACTCGCAGACGCCGCATCGATTCGCAGTCAATTACCATTGACTGCGAATGCCGAGAGACTGCACTTACGGGGGACCATTTCCAGCTGCTAAGCGCTCCTGTAGTACGTACACTCATAGGTACGACTGCATCAAGGGAGCGGTTCGTACCGTCTCCTACGAGGGAGGGAGGATGGTTCAAACACTGTGACCGTCTTTTCTCGCAAGTGATGATCCGTCGCTTAACACGACTCCGGGTTTGAACTGCATAGACGTAGTTAAACCTCTTCAAACTCAGTTTGAGTTGGAAATGAAGACCCTCTTCTTTCCACTTCCAGGCAGTAGAACCGTGAGAGTAGAAAGGTATAAATATAATAAAGGCATAGAGGAGTCCGGCGCGGCGACGAACTTCGCGCTGTGAGCTTTCTGAACCGCCACTATAAACAAAATCCGTTCAATTCGAAAGGCGATACGTATCTCGTGTTGTATATCCCAAGCGACAGACCCTTGCAAAACCTAGGGAGATGGATCCCTTCATATCAGGGGTTATGCAGACCGAGGAGCCCGCTTGTAGACATGGACATTATGCCACCCTGGAGAGATTATCCCAGGTAGTGAGACACCAAAGGGGAAAGTCTATATGACGTCCTTAGGCTCTGCCGAGGTAGATGAACTCAGGAAGCAACGTCAACGTCAACGTCATGAGTTGATAGACAAGGGTTGGATCAGGCGTAGTACCTCATTTTTTGGATCCCCAGTTTTATTTGTGCACAAGAAGAGGGATGAACCCTTACGGTGTGCATTGACTACGGGGCCCTCAATGCGATCGGAATGCGTACCGATGAACCAACCCTTGCTCTGCATCGACGACCTCTTCAACAGGATGCAAATGAGCGTAAGCGCTTCGGCAGGGTAGATCTCAAGTCCGGGTACCATAAGCACAAAACTGCATTTCACACCAAACAAAAACTGCATTTCACACTAAACAAAACTGCATTTCACACCACCAAGCATGTTCTGTACGAGTTTGTGGTGACGCTTTTCAAACTCTGCAATGCGTCTTCTATAGTATTTCATCGCCGTGTGTGTGCCATTCTCTATCGCAATAACATAGTTATGTTCAGTACAACATTGGAGGAGGAGGATTCCCAACCTTTGTGGATTGTCTGATTCACAAAGAACAAAGTAAATCTGCATGCACTACCTTCTTCCCCCGAAATAGAATGCACAGTCATTATAGCTGTGTATTTAGACTGAAAGATGCCCCCAAAACAGCTTATAATGCCCGTGCGTTGTACTTGGGGGAAGAATGTAGTATCTTGTATTCGAGTCACGGAACATCTGAAGAATGTAGCATCTTGTATAGGTCAAAGGACGCTCAAGTAGCAGCCACTCGGGACAGGCTATGACCCCGGAATGTAACTAAGGACAAATCCTTCCTGGGTATGGCAGGTTAGTCCGGACCATGCCATGCATAAAGGATTACAACCCTATAGCCTGTCCATTAGCCTATCTGACTCAATTTGATACCCCCCTGAAAATGGGACAAGAGGTGAGCGGATGCATTCTTGAAGTCGACGCGTGCTCTAATCAACCCTTCTGTTATGAAAGTTGCAGAACTGAACAAGCTATTCATAGTTTACCGCTGACCCCGACCGATACGGCATAAGCGCAGCGCTACAACGAGTAGAGGGTAAGACGTCGAGACCAATGGAGTATACATGTCAAAGAACATGCCACCAGAGAAACTCCGCAAGTCCACCTACGAAAAGGAACTCGATGGAAAAAAAAACTGCCAGGGGGGGTGACATTCTTCCGTAAATGTGCCCAACTTTTCAGTGTTTTCACCGATCCAAAAACAGAACACTGCATAACAGAAACAAAAAAAAAAAAAAACAGAACTGGCAGGAAGTAAGGAACAGGGGGGTGACAGGGGGCTTGCTGTCACTTGTCGTGTTCCTCGCGATGGCTGGCCTCCTCTCCGCCTTGTCCTTCTTGACGTTACTTCGTCTCCAAGATCCTCCCTCCTCTAAGCCGCCGTCGTCCTCCCTCCTCTGCGTCTCCTGTGTCATCCACAACTCCTCCCTCCTCTCTCTCTCTCTCTCTCTGTGTGTGTGTGTGTGTGTGTGTGTGTGTGTGTGTGTTTGATGGCGACGTTGGCTCGATGACGGCGACCACGTGCAGAGCAGCCACGGTGACAGCGATGGGGGAAGCGCTGCAACGACGACGTCAACATCCAGCGGGGCGAATGGCAGGCGATGGGAGTCTCAACAGCGTACCAGCGGCTGAATGGCGGGCGGGAGGGTTTTCGATTCGAACAGGCCCTCGTTTCCCCCCGAAATCGAGGCCACACCAAGACTGCAGTGAACGAAAAAAAAATAATTCTAAAACCTACGAGGCGCGCGTCCGGCCGTGTCGGCAGAGCCCCAACGGGTCGAAAAAATACCAGGGCCAATTTTCTGGGGTCGGCCTCGACCCAACCAAGGGTGCAGGCCGACCCGTTTTTGAAAAAAAAAAATTGTCTGGATTTGGCTAATTTTGGCACCTTCCGGACCCTCCGGACTGTACGTCCGCGCGGACATTGTACTCCGGACCGTCTGGAACTCGGTCCGGACGTCCGGAACGTAACCATGCCTCTTACCATTGCCAGGGTGGATCGCCGACTTCGTCCAGACTGAAGTCCGGATCACTGACTTCGTCCGGGATGAAATCTGGACTTGGAAGGCCGGGAAACACAGTGCCGTTCCTCCCTCCCTCTGTCAGCTAGCCTTCCTCCCTTTTCCTTGTCTCTCTCTCTCTCTAGAGTGTGAGAGAGAGGGCAGCTCCACAGATCAATCTACTGGTTTATCCTCTCCATGGTCCCACCAGGAACATGGCAAATGGAACACTTGTGCTCGTCGGATTTCCCAACCCCCCTTCTCCCTCTCTCTCCTTGGTTCCTTGCACCTCACTCAGACTGCCTAGAAAGGGAAGTCCAGCCCAACCCTTCTCTTTCCCTTTCCCCCACCCTCTTCCTCTCAAGTTCTTTCTTGGCTATGAACAGACCCGACCCTCTTCCTCTCAAGTTCTTTCTTGACTACGAACAGACCCTCTTCCTCTCTTGTTCTTTCTTGGCTACGCACAGAGACCCTTTTCCTCTCTTTTTCTTTCTTGGCCAAGTACATACCCTCTTCCTCTCTTTTTCTTTCTTGGCCAAGTACAGAACAGGTTTCTTGGCAAATGGAGCACTTTCTTGTTTTTTCTTTCCATGAACGCGGCAAAGTACCGACATCCGCACCCAGCCAGGATTATACTTGCGGCGCTTCGGGAAAAAGGCACCCGCAACTGCCTTTTTCGCCCTTGTGCATGTCCGATCACATCACACGGCGAGCGTAAATCTTGTCCCTCTGGACCAGCTTCCCCTTTTCATATACGAACTTGAAAAGGCAAGGCGGCCTTTTTTTGAGTTTTCATTCAAAGCGTTCGTCCAGCTTGCTGGCTAAAATGCCTGCCCGGTTTTCATATACAAACTTGAGAGAAGGCATTCATTCAAAGCGTTTTTCCAGCTTGCTTGCTTGCTAAAATGCCCGCCACCCCGGATTTCCTCCGAGACTCTCAAGTTAAGAGGCCTTATTTTTCCTGCGGAAGATCCGAAACTGGCAGGGCCAAGGATTTTGCCCACCATCTCTCCATCTAGGGATTTGAACAGTACAAGCCCTCATTTGGCATTCGGTTCCATCCCCATGAATTGAACACAGGCAAAAACGAAAGAAAAGGGCTCGGAGAAAACGAAGGAAAAAACAGGTTTACCCTCTTCTTTCAGATGGGATCAACCTTGGCGATAGCGTTAAGGAGGTTTCCAAAAGCCTGCGATACATATATATAATAATAGAGGTGCAAAAGAGGTGGGCTTGTTAAAACAGAGCTCTAATCAGCCCAACACCGCAGGGAGGGGGGGAATAGAAGAAGTCTTTTGGTGCCTGCACATTCCAAGTGCTCTTCCTCCTTGCTGGGAGGGCGAGGGCAAGTTTTCCTTAACAGTGCTTGCTGGGTGGGAGGGCAAGTTCCTTACCAGTGCAGTGCTGGCCGTTTTCGGGCAGCAATTGATGGGAGATACTACCCACCACTAGCCCCTACATTTGGTGCTGGCGAAAGAACAGAGTCGCTGTCTGTTTCTCCATTTCACACCATCAGACCATCTCTGCTTCATCGATACGAGACCCCCGCCCCCCTTTTTTGACCGGCTCGTGCTGCATAATGCCCGTTTCCCGCTGCTACAGGAAGACTCCCAATGAATGTGTCTGTCTGTCACAGACTCAACAGGCCATAGAAATGGGTGATGAGCTGCCGAAACAAAACGATCACCCCTGCTCTTTCACAAAGAGACATCTGAAAGCAACCACAACAACAACAAAAAATAAAAACATGCTTTTAAATGCGACACAATCACAGGGAAAGACCAAAAAAAAAAACAAAAAAAAAACAAACAAACAAACAAACAAACATTGACCAGGGTTGACAGGAGGGAGCACAATGAGAAACCTACTTGCCTGCACGCAAAGACGAGTACCAAGAATCAGAGGGGGAAAAAAAAAAAAAAAAAAAAAAAGGCAGATGGGTGAGATATTTGAAAAGTATTCCAGCTTCTCCTAAAATTACCAACACTGCCACAGGTGCAGCAATATTACACTTTGCCTGCACGCAAGAAGGTTCCGATGCAGGTCAGGCTGATAGAAAGACCTTAAAACAGCCACCGTCATCCTTACGCAGGAAAACGGGGGGTCAGACTCAGAGGGGGATGAGCAGTTGACCCACCAGCACCTCTGCCAGGCAGGCGCCTGCTTTTCCGGTGCAAACGGAGTGGCCACGGCCGCCGATAGGCCACAGGGTCCTTCAGTAGAAGGATCAGCTCTCCTATGTGTCCTTCTCAAAACCGTGTCCCCCCACAGCTTTGTGACTCAAATCACTATAGAATCGTATAGATTGCCCACCTAAACAACACCCGGCTAAGGGATTTCTGTTTCCCCCAAACATAGAAAAAGGTCCGAGGCTAGATCACGCTGCTTCCTTGGAAACGATAAATAGGTTTGGGCGAGCGGAGGTACGGCGGTCATGGCGGTTTAATTATTGGCCAGTGAAAGGCAACAAATTCAAAAAAATTACCTTCTCGGAAACATGCGCACTGCAAAGCACAATTTTGCTTTTGCAGCGCAAGTACGCGTCTGATCGAAAGAATACAATGGGGCACATTCTCCTCTACCCCACAAACTTGTTTATTGTGTTTCACGCACGAAAAGGTCTCCAAAACTAAATATCATCGCCACGTGGATTAGCAGCGGGCAGAGAACCCTTGGCTCGCTTCCTTGGCAGCCTCTCTGGAAAGCACCGTCTCTGCAACACAAACACACACACACACACACACACACACACACACACACACACACATGAAATCCAACACGTCAGCTGCGTAGACGGAGATACCTGCCATGTCACAATTCCCAACGCCGTGGCTAAAGGGCCGCAGACAAGGATGAGGACAGCAGCAGCAAAAGAGGCACAGGACAGCACCTAGATTGAAGAGGAGTCTCGAGGAAGGAAAAGGTTGTGTGTATTACTCGTTCTTGTCATTCTCCTTTTTCCCCGTTCATTCAAGATTTCCTTTGCATTAGATACTGCCCATGAAAATGACACGGAGACAATGCCAGACAGCAGGGAACTTGCCATGAAGATGACCTCGAGAGAATACCAGAGAGCAAGGAGCACACAAGGACAAGGAAACGAGGAAGGAGCAAAACAGGAAGAGACGCAGGAGAGGAGTGGATGAGAAGGGGCGACTGGAAAATTCAAGCCCTTTGCTTTCCCCCTCCAGAGTCATTACAGAGAGGGTATACTTGAAAGGATCAGTACTTTATTCTACTTCTATATTCTTGTTCTACTTTGTGCTTCTTTGGGAGGCCACGAAACGCATTGCATCTAAAACTTGCATAGGAGATGACAACCACCACCACAAGAAATGAAAATTGCAGAAACTGTCTGGAAAATTGTGGAAATGTATTACACAGCAAATTCGTATGTACACGCAGCAGCTATCGCCGGCAGGCATCACACGCACACAGACACAGAGAGAGAGAGAGAGAGAGAGAGAGAGAGAGAGAGAGAGAGAGAGAGAGAGAGAGAGAGAGAGAGAGAGAGAGAGAGANGAGAGAGAGAGAGAGAGAGAGAGAGAGAGAGAGAGAGAGAGAGAGAGAGAGAGAGAGAGAGAGAGAGAGAGAGAGAGAGAGAGAGAGACGATGCAGACGATTGCACAACAAGGGCCACAATGGGGATGACAACAGCAAGTGATGAAGGCAAGGGAAATACATACCCTCACTGCGACTTCGACTTAAGGCGTTCGCTTCTCACTGGTGCTTTTCTGTAAGGCCCAATTGGGACCCATGGTGATTGAAGATCAGCGACCAAGATTGGGCCACAAAAAGTCAGGCCTAGCGGTGTTAAGGTAGGCCCAAAAACAGTTTTGGGCCTCCCTTTGCATGTAGGAAGCCACCTCAGGGGGCCTGGAATGGCCCAGTGCAAAAGAACACAAGGCATGGCCGTGGCCCTGCATGGGAGGCTGGCCGTAGTTATTTGTTCTTACTTTTTTTCCCCTGATCTGCCGGAACCTAATCTAAATGCCTGATTTTTTCCGAAATGTTCCCTTGCCGGGGATCCGGATGAAAAATTAACGAAGTCAGGGCTAGGATACTATGTGAACACGCCGAACGCACGTTCGTGTTCAAATGCGCACGTTCAAACTGTGTTCGCGCGGATTCAGACGCATTCAAATGTGCCACGTGGCAGACAAGGGGGGAAGACTGAACGCGCGCCCCCTCCAGTGCGCGTGTCGCATACCATAATGGTACATACCAGAGCAAGAACCGACCTCTTTCACATAGTACAAGATAGCGCAGTGGAAGGCTAATATACCAATGATCCGAACAATCAATGTTGCAATGCAGACCAAACATACATCATCATCATTCCATGGTCTGAAGGGGCCTGGCGCGCACACACACACACACACACACACACACACACACAAGATTCATTCAATTTTGGTCATCCTATCGATGGAAGTAGCGTGACGGGCGCCGCGGGGTTGGAGACTTACCTGTTGGCCGGTGAGTTGCTCATCCTATTCGATCTAAAACTCCCTCTCTCTCTCTCTCTCTCTCTCCGATACTAACCTGTGAAGGTGACGCCTTGTTGCAGGCACATCGAAGACGAAGCTGGAGCTATGGCGCCACAGGTAAGTCTCCCTGGCCTCCGCCAACCATCTCTCTCTCCAACGCTACTCTAGCTCCTAATAGGACCCAGCGCTGAAGACTACTCCTAGCGCTACTACTACTGCAGCGTGCCGAATACTGAAGACTGCCTCCTGCCTCCTGCACGTGAAGTGCCTGGGAAGTCCCTAGGAACTACCTGCAGCCTGCAGGGCGGGCCAGTCTTATATAGTGCTGGCCCGTCCAGGAGGCTGCTCTTGCCAATGCCAAAACGTGCCAGACCCTGGGGTTGAAGCTCAAACAAAGGTTGTCTTGAAAACAGGCCCAAATGGCCTGTGCTAAAACCCTGGTCTGGTGCCTAAGTTTCAGTGCAGGTCGATCTTACGAGGGCCTGAAAATGGCCCTCCGTTTCAGGCTGAATCCAGGCCCTTTTTTTAGGCTGAAACGACACAGGGCCTGTAGGTCCTTGTTTTCAGGCTTTCAGGCTGAAACGATACAGGGCCTGTAGGCCCTTGTTTTCAGGCTTTCAGGCTGAAAACGACACAGGGCCTGTAGGCCCTTCTTTTCAGGCTTTCAGGCTGAAATGACACAGGGCCTGTAGGCCCTTGCTTTCAGACTTTCAGGCTAAAACGACACAGGACCTGTAGGGCCCTGATTTTCCCTCTGGTCGGGCCCTGCAGGCCCGTGTGGATACCCAGTATGCCACAGCGTGTGTGTTGGACGCCACCGGGGGGCATGGGGAGTTAGAAAAACAAGTAAAACAAATCCTGAGTGTGTGTGTGTGTGTGTTTCACTGGCGCAAAGAGCGAACGCACACGCCCGAGAGCGCGCGGGCGAGGGAGAGAGAGAGAGAGAGAGAGAGAGAGAGAGAGAGAGAGAGAGAGAGAGAGAGATTTTGGGCGGTGCCACATGGCTGCGCTTACTGACACAAATGCACAGAGGTAAGTTTTCTTGTTTTCTTTCTTTTTGCTTTTTTTGGTTGCTCTTTTTTGTTGTTTTTTCTTCTGATGTTTTTATTTTGGGAAATGCAACAATTGAAGTTTCCAAAAAACCGGTGCAGGGCCTGAAATATGTTCAATGTGCCCCTACCGGTACCAGCTACCGGTAGCAGTTCCAGATTTCCAGTACGCCTCGGTAGCTCCCCTCCCAGGGCCAGGGGAACAGCGGCGAGTGCCACCAACGACCACCAGCATGCTGAAAAGTTGCACCCCTCACTGACAGGGGCCTGCAGGAAACCTCAAAGCCCCCACGGGCAGGACAGGGTAAGTCAGCCGTTGGAGGGGCGTACCGCAAAAAATGGAAGTCGGAGGGGCATTTCAAAAAGTTTACCTTTTATGTTTTTTTGAGGGATGCGAAGGGTGCCTGCACCCCTTCCCCTCCCCCCATAACCCCTCCCCGTGTGGAAACCTTCCCCCATGGACGTGTTTTGACCCAGTCGCAAACGCATCAAACGCGTTCACCCGCGTTCAGTGAGCGCGCATCCAATGCATTGAAAAACTGAACGCGGCACCCGCGTTCAATGGACACGTGGCAACACAAAGTCGGGGTACTCGGAATTTTGCATACCGCTCTTGTACCACGCTTTGGCAGGCCAAGCCTTCAACTCTGCAGTGCATTTAACGCTGTGGGTTCGGGAGGAGTGGGGTATGCACTGGTGGTTTAAGCACCTGGACAGGAAAATCTGGAGCCTCCCAGTCTCAGGACATACGAAAGGCTGGGCCATGATTATGGGACAGGGTGCTTCATATCGGGGGGTGTGCCAGGCTGCTGTCGAAGGGGAGTGGGTGAGAGGAAGGTGGGACTAGGGATGTTTCCAGGGATTGACGGCACCCATGGTACCTGCCTTCGGCACTACAGTGTTTAGCACAAGCACAGTGAAGGAGTCGTCGCCCAGTCGCAGTATATGAGACATGCTAGGGCAGAGCTCATGGAGAATGTGCACTTGGTCCCTGGAGGCCGCCAGGCTTCAGGACTGCAGCGCTGGTGGTAGGCCTACAAGACAGATGCACATTGGAGGAAGACTGGGAGGTAGTGCTGCAGATGTCTATGGGAATTGAGGGCAGAGAAGGGGGCAGGCAGCCATAGCTGCCCATGGGACCTGCCTTCCACATTGTACTATTGCATGCAAACACAGAATCTTCTTCGCAGTTCAAGTCTTCATCTCTAGCTAATCAGTTTATCCTAATTTAGAGAGAGGGAGTGGAAGGGGTCTCAACTGAGCTTTCCTTCTTCCTCTCCTACACCTCGAGGGACAGAGGGAGACACCTGGCTACAGCAGCAGGGAGCAAACTCACCTTCCACACAGAGAGACGACTCATGCATGTATTTTGATCTAGGGAGGTGGCAATCGTCGGAGGAGAAGGGTTTGGATGCTTTCCCACTTGTGACACGATGCTCTTTCCTGCGTTGGCTTTAAACCACCAGTACCTGGCCCAGCTATCGGACGCGGCGCTTCCCGTATATGCCCCGCGTCGGGAGGGGCACCCACCTTGCAACGACCGGTACCGCCCAAAAGTCGGAATCAAGAACGGAAAAAAAAAAAAAAAAAGAAGAAACGAGAACAAACAAAGAAATAAAAAAAACGGGCGAGGCGGGGGAACGGGGGGAAGAAAGAAAGAGAGAGAGAGAGAGAGAGAGAGAGAGAGAGAGAGAGAGAGAAAGAGAGGGCGTCAGGGAGTACCTGACGCCAAGTTTGCTGCGTCAGATGCTCCCTGACGCCCTCACTCCCTCTCTCTCTCTCTCTCTCTCTCTCTCTCTCTCTCACACATAACGCGGAAGATTCATCCGCGTTTGTGTGTGTGTGTGTGTGTGTGTGTGTGAGAGAGAGAGAGAGAGAGAGAGAGAGAGAGAGAGAGACTCAACGTTCACATTCGACTCGACTCTCCACATGCACAAAAGACAAAAAATATGGCAGCGCATCTTTCCATGTTCTTGCAGAAGATTCATTCTCATTTTGCACTTTTGGAGAGTAGTGCATCGAGGCCCATTCTCTCTCTCTCTCTCTCGGATGAATCTTCCGCGTTATCCGCGTTTGAGAGAGAGAGAGGGTGAGTTTGGTCCACCAAACTTGGCTACAGATACTATCTGACGCCCTCTCTCTCTCTCTCTCTCTCTCTCTCTCTGAACCTCTAC